AAATTTATATTCTGTTTTTACACAGGAAAAAACTAGGCTTTATATTAAAAATATTTTTACATCCCCTATCTCAAAAAATGTAGTGTTTTCAGTGCCGTTTCCCATTATTACCTCATCTGAACTCTGAGGCCACCCTCTGAGGTGGCACAGGTAAGATGTCTTTACCTCATTACCTTTTTAAGGAAACCGAGGCTCAGACAGGTGACTAGTGACTCGTGTTCTGCAGCTCTATCTAAATCCAAACCATCTGAGTGATGTTGAGGGTTTTCATCCTAAGAACCCTCAGCTCTTAGCTGGAGACCAGGATTTGAAGTAGAGCCTTCTTTTTTCATCAGCAGAGGGGCTCGTACCACAGACCTGACCTGCCTGGCACCCGGGGTCCCCTAGGAATGCACCTGGCCCCACTGTTTTAAGGAAGCACCTTAAAGGGACTTAAGGGACTGCCTTTCCTCGCTTGGGCTTGTGGTCAGCGGCATGGGTTATGCTTCTGTTTGCTCCCAGTCCTCCAGCCCTGCCTCTCGGTATTGGTGGAGTTTTCTTTCGGTCTTTAACACATTTGTTTGTGTGCTTCTTTCCTAGTCCAAAGAATCCTCTTCGGTGCTTAGCTGTGACATTTCTGTGGATGACAAGTACATTGTCACTGGCTCTGGGGACAAGAAGGCCACGGTTTATGAAGTTATTTATTAAGGACAAATCTTCACACGAGCTGGACTCCTCCTCCTTGTAGCACTTTGTTCTGTCATCCTTTTGTTCTCCCGCATCTAAAACCAAGGATTTCAGATCCTCACTGCAGTTGTGGATTTCAGCCCCGCCCCACCCCCCACTTCCCTGCTATTGAATTGTGAATACTCATTAAGAACCTGTGATACCAAATCTTCAGCTGTCTACTTGGAAGAACATGGAATAACCATACTTAACAGTGAAAGGAATCTTTAATTATGTATTATATCTGTAATATATTTATTTTGTTTAAAGAAGGCTTTCTAACAATGACTGACTAAATAAAGCTGTCTGCTCCTGCATTGATAATGAAGATGCGTTGTATTTGATACCGCTCCCCCCCCTTTTGTCAAAGGAGGGGAAAGGAAGGTTTAAAATAACTGATTAAAAATGTCACTAAATGTAGACTAATGACTGTATAGAGATGTGAAATGTATAATTACACATGGAAGCAATATGTTGCTGTGTTGTTAGATTTTCTTGTTTTCGTTTTCTACTTATTTTAAGGATGTTTGGAACTTTGAACAGTTAGAACATGACAGACCATGTCATATTCATTTGAGTCTATTTGGACAACCTTAACCGAAATATCTATAGCTTTAGATTATATTCGATAAAAGTAATTAGACCTTTTTTTTTCTTTTTTTGACTTGTTGACAAGTGTCTTTGTAATATGTTTTTAATTCATTTTTTTATTGTATTATAGACAGATGAACAAATTAAATTTGGCCTCAAAGAGAGAACTTAATCCCTCCTGGATATTTTTGCCACATTTCTTTGCAAAGGGAGATGTATGTCTTTGGGCAGTTTTGTCATTACGAGAAATTATGGGCTATTTTTTGGCGTGTTCTTTGGGAACTGCACAGATTCAGGGGAGGATTCCCCTCACTGTGAAAGTCAAGTCTTTTACAAGATAAAGACCAGCAGAGGAGAACTTGCAGGGACCTCCCTCTGAAAATCAGAAAGAATGGACTCTCACCTGGGGTGAGGACCCGCTTTCTTCACCTCCCTTCTTTCCATGTCTTAGTTGGATGTCCCTGAAATGGACACAGGCTTTGCCACTGTGCCAGAAACATTGTGTTATCTTTTATGTTGTTGTTGTTGCTGTTAAACTATGATATGTGACTCCTTTTTTTTTTATTATTATTATTTTTTGTTTGAATGCTTTAAAAAATCTTTTAAGTCTGTGGATCTGCTGATGTACAGTGCCTTTGCTGCTATGGATCAAAATCAAGAGAACTGTGTAGATAAACTTTATTGTGTAAGTAGAAAATTACTTAATTTCGTACTAGAAATGGATGGACGCTGCAAGTTGACATGGGCTGTCCGTTGCCGTTCCTAATGTGGTAGCAGAAGAAACAAATGGTGTCTTAAGTGCTTAGTGTTTGATGTCATTAACAGTTTCGTAAAACTCTACAGTGTAGAAAGATTTTGATACTAAACTGTGCATTGTACATAGTTCTAATGCATTGTATTGACCACCAGTACTTCTATAATGGTAGATTTGTTTGTGCATTCAGACTTTTAAGCATTAAACATAAATAACTTCTAGTATGCTTATTTCTAATTCTTTGTTTTGCTGGCTTTATTTTTTTTATCTTTGACCATGCCATCCTATATATTAAAAATTACATGAAATATTCATGGGAGGTTGTGTTAAAAGTTACATGAACTTTTTCACTGTTGCTATTTAAATTTTGTTTTTATTTTCACTGGAGAAGAGCTAGAAGGGAGAGTGGATAGAGGCTATCAATGACAGTTTACACCAAATACTCATTCAGTGCCTCTTCACTTCGTAAAAATACCATCTATCCAAAAGTTGTGTTACTCAAAGCCTTGAGGCTTTGGAGCTGTGCTGTTCAGTATGGTTACCACTAGCTGTTTGTGGCTATTTGAATTTAACTTTGAGTAAAATTAAAAATTCGGCTTATCGGTCATAGTAACTACATTTCAAATGTTGAGTTAGCCACATGTGGCTAATGGCTACCATGTTGGACTGTATTAATTTATAGAACATTTCCATCATCACAGAAAGGTCTGTGGCACCAGCACTGCTTTAGAGTTGGCCCACGCATACCATGTCCAGCCTTTGGGGTTTGGGAAACATTTCCACTGTCATACACTGAAGTTTTCGAAAGCATGAGGTTCCCCGGGGCTGCTACTGTTGGGTGTGTGCACCTTTGGGGTAAAGCAGTGCTTAAGGACTCTAAACTTCTGGGACTCTGAAACCTGACATTTTATGGATCCACTGGGTAGGAAGAAGGCTGGGGTTGGGAGCGCCATGGTGGTCTGAAGTGTCTCAGCGATCAGCAGTGAGAGGTAGTGACTCTCGGTGCAAAGAGTCCAGCAGTGTTCACCAAGGTGGGGCAGAAAGCAGCACTCCCAAGTGGGAGGGGGTGAGTTCCGCACCATCAGGTGGTGGCATTTTTAAAGTACTCTTAGCTTAATTAATTCCTGTTTATCCGTATTAAAATTCCTCAAAATACAATAGAGATTTGGAGTAACAGAAAAATCATTTTGGCTCAAAGAGTATGACCCTTGCATACCATGTTGACACTTGTAGAAGAAAGTGCCCTCCTCAAGGAGTTAAAATCTCATTTGGTCCCTGATCAAGTCTGTGATGCCCTTTAGTTTTCTTTAGAGAGATCCAAAACGGTGGATTAAAAGTGGATTTTTACTGGATTAAAAACTGAGATGAATGCATTAAAAAGTCTAGCTTTTTAAAATAAGGGGGGAGGATATAACTCAAGTGGTATAGTGCATGATGCACAAGGTCCTGAGTTCAATCCCCAGCACCTCCTCTAAAAATAAGTAAATAGACCTAATTACCTCTCCCCCCACCAAAAAATTTTTTTTAATTAAAATAAATGGGCATTGATATCCTATCATTGCTGAGCTTTTATCTGATCAGATTTTTATGTCTAATATAAGTCTTAGGCCTGGATTAAAATACACAGCATTCTTGATGTTGCTGATGTTTTAATTAATACTTGGTTTACCGTAGTTTTTACTCCCAAGTATGGCCTTGCAGAGTCTGAAGAACGACAAAGGTAGAATCACATTGAACCAGAGAGAACTTGGCATCAGTGAAAGCACAGAGTGGTGTAGGACCAGAGGATGGACATACGCAGAACTACCAAGAAATAGAAACCCATATTGAAGACCTTCCTAAGGCTGGCAGATCACATGTAAAGTGACAAACTCTAACATCTTTAGGTTTCTACAGACACACACCTCACCTATGGGGCACTACTCCCTGGCTTCTTGTCCACTGAGCTGCAAAAGATCCATCTCGTCCTGGAACGGCGTGCTTTGAGGCTTTAACCGCAGCCCTGTAACACCTGCAGGTGGCTGCAGTGCCGCAGCCATGGGATATCCAGAAACTCGGTTTCAAGCCATCTCACATGGCCGTGAAATCCTGGGACCCGCAGTCAAGAGCAGGAGAAATTGATGCCCCACAGTCAGAAGGCAGCATTCTGGATAGAGGCGCAGTACACCGGCGAGATTTTGAGCAACCAGACCATCAGCGATACCCTCTTCTGTCAACACAACCACAGTTCTGGTGTCCTCAGTTGGCCATTCTTGTACTGGCATTTGTATAGCTCAGAATGCATAACATGAGGGATTTGTCAGCTGGTATTTTGGGGCAGTTGTAAGGAAATGCGTACTGGAATTCCTTGCCCAGCATTAAGTAAGCAATTACAAAATTATACTGATGTTGGTACCAAAAGGAGTTCTTCTGACATCCTTGGATGTTCATTTCTGTCGCTGCCCAGCTCCTGGGCACCGTGTAGAGCGGCGTTCAGCAACGAGCCCTGGGTCTTGCCGCCTTCAGTTTCCCACTGGGGCGTCAGCGGCTCGCAACCAGCCCTGTTCTGAGCTAATTGCATTTATTTACCTTTCAGTTCAAACTCTGTTCAGAACTGACAATGGAAATAGCTTATTTTTGACAACCCAAGCACATCAGAAAACCTCTCATGTGTTAGAACATTTTAACACCAATGCTGCCTTGGTGGTAGGAACTAAATTTTGTTGTAAGCTACTGTTAACATTTTATTTTAGTCTTTGGGTTGTTGGCAGCAAGCGACAGAATTTTTTGGGTCCCAGATAGGAATTAGCAGGGGAGCTGGGCTCTCGTTTATGTCTCCCCAGGGAGAGAAATTCTCAGCTGGGAGCTTAGGTATTTGGCCTACAGGGAAGGAGAATTCCCACAGGGCTGCCTTTAGACCAGAGGAGACCCACAAGCGCAGTGTTTTCACAGAAGTTCTGTCTGATCTCACAGCAGGCCTAGGCAGGCTGGATGCTAGAATACTGAATTTACACAAAAGAGCACAAAGCATCAGAGGAGAAGAGTGATTTTCCCAAACACTCTGTCTCCCAGGGAAGACAAGTCGGCCTGAGCCCCAAGGCTCCGGACCAGCAGTTGGAATTCTGTCTGCTTAGCGTGAAAGATAGGAAGAAAACTGGAGAGGGAGTGTCCATATACTTAAACCTTGCTCTTTGCCCTTCAGTTTCACACAGGTTAACTGGCTTGGAGACTTCTGCATCTCAGCAGCTCTTGAAAACTCCTTAAATCAATCACAGGTTGCCTTTTGAGATCCTGTGGTGTGAGTACTTACTGTGCACAAGGCAAAGACCCACCGTGGGCTAAGAGACGTCCCCACGTCCAACCCTGGGGTCTTACTGCCTCAGGCAGGGAGCCTCCCCTATTAACTTGACATTGTCATTTGATGAGAACATTCAGAACTAACAAGTCTTCTGTTATTTTGGAAGAAGACTGAAACTCACATAAATGTCATGCTTTATTTGACTTGAGGGCAACAAATAAACACACACTGAAAGGTACACTTGAGGTGTTTGGGTTTTGAGAATTTGGGCAGCAGATTTCTGAACTCTAAGGTGGAGCCCAAACTAATGCCCAAATGGTTTCTAGTGGCCTAGGATTTCTCCCCAGACCTAGGTGGTAGTTGGCCACTTCTCAATCTTTAATAAATGCCTCCACAGCCTCTCCTAAAAGAAGCTACTCTAGGTGGTACCTTGGCCACGTCTTGTGTCGTGTGGTGTTGAGCCAACCTAGATATTTTTGTTCTTTCAGGAGGCTGGAAAGTAGCCGGAGAATGTTAGTGGTGGAAACTAAGTCAAAGAAAACTGTCAGGCCGAGGACATGCCTTTCTTCCTTGTGGGCCATCGACACGCAGACAAGACACACCATCAGGAACCACCATGAGGGTTGGAGTGAGACCCCCCAACCCCCAGGCATCGAGCAGAGCAAAATATTCCTTAGGACAATTTCCCAATGTTTGAAGAACTTCTGTCAGATGCCTCTTCGTCCCAAAGAGTTTAGCTCAAACAAATACTATTCACCTCAATGTCTATTGGGTCAAGTCTTAGCATCATGCATCCAACTCAGAGAAGGAAGCCTGGTGCTGCTGAGAACAAAGCACCATCCCCGAAGCTTGTTCGTCTTAACCAGATGAAGGAAAACAAGACTTCCTGGATTAATTGAAGAAATCACCAATTAAGCTTTGTTCTTCAATCTCCCGCAGATACTCATCGCCCCTTTAATTTTTCTTCCAAGTAGACCATCAGTGTTAGTGAAATGTGATTTCAGGTTTTATGGCTGAGTGCGGAAGTTCAAAGTTATGGTTTCTATGCTGATGATCAGTCAAGCCCACTGCACGCACATCTTGGGCCTCAGTTTTTGTGTGAACAGGAACAGCCTCCTGGGCGCAAGATGGTGGTTGAGACAGTTACTCTGAGGACAAAGGCCTTGATTCAGACACTCGTTCCTGAGTGTCCTACATCTGGGTATATATCCAAAGGGAATGAAATCACTATCTTGGTCTTAAAAACCAAGCATAAAGTGCCCCTAATGAGAATTTTAGTGGTGCTCCCTAAAGTGAAGGACTTAGCTCCAGTCCCCGAGTTGTGTAAGACAGGGGTCCAGTTTCATTGTTTTGCATGTGAGAATCCAGTTTTTCTAACACTATTTATGGAAAAGATTATCTTTTCCTCATTGTCTATTTTTAGGACTCTTGTCAAATACCAGTTTGCCATATACATACACATACACAGGCAGGGATTCATTTCTGGGCTTTCAGTTCTGTTCCACTGGTCTGTGTCTGTGTTATGCCAGGACCATACTGCTTTGATTCCTATAGCTTTGTGGGATTGTTTGAAATCAGGGAGCATGACATTTCCCACTTTATTATTCTTCCCCGAGGTTGCATTGGCTATTCAGGGTCTTTGTAGTTCCATACAAATTTTAACATTGCCTTTTCTATTTCTTTGAAAAATGCGTTGACTCTGTAGGTGACTTTGGATAGAATGAATAGTTGAATAATATTTTTCTGATCTGTGAACACAAGATGTCTTTCTATTTATTTGTGTCCTCTTCAGTTTCTTTCGATATAGTTTTCAGTGTAGAGATCTTTCACCTTCTTGATTAAATTTGGTCCTAAGTATTTTATTGTTTGTTGATTACATCCCACCCAGCAGCACTCCATAATCCAACATGTTAATATTTCTGGAGCAAAACATGAATATTCATACTGGGTGAAGTAGGTG